ACGAAACCATTTTACACATAATAGGGGAGAACAATACATAAATTGGGGGAATAACACAAGAAACTTAACAACACACTACAACAATCTTAGTTCTTTTATAGGATGCTTTACTACAATAAGCCCATGAAAGTGTTGTTGGAGTTTTTACAGTACTATTGGATTTTCACTGGATTCTCATCTTGGTAGAATATGCAACAGTTTCTGCTGTTAGGCAAGCCTGGATCTTGAAACATGGATTTGTAAAGCTAGGCCCCCATTGTATTTGGTAATTAGCAACTTCATCTGTAATTGAGTCCTGAAGTTATCTGGAAGCTCTCTAGAAGGTGCTGCTAGATATTATGTTTTAAAATAATTTAAAATAAAAAACTGCAAGTTTTTTTTTTTCTATTGGTTAAAAGGCTTTTATTTTCCATCATTCACTCCATAGGGAAGTAGTATTCTGAGACTTTTGCTGGGTTTCCTTCCTCTTATTACAGAATGTGATGAGGCTATCTGCAAGGATGATCCAGAGGTGCACAAATATTTTATCTAACCATCTGATCTTAAAAATGGTTCAGAAAAGCTGCAGGCCAGCTCCTTTTGTGGCCTTCACCCCATGAGCCACCATGATTTGGACCCTGAGCATCACTTGGCACACATTTCAGGACTGTCTAGAAGATGATATCTCATGCTGAAGATCCTTAAGGACCTTCAAGCAAAAGTGAAAGACCATCTGACCATGGTCTGGTATCCCCACTGCCTCTCCATACCCAGAGAAAAACACATTCTTCATATGCCAGGGCTGCTGCTTTGTCTCCTTTGTCAACTTGCATTCAATTCACTTTGATGTTTTATTATTCTCCTGAGCCAAATTGGCCTTATCCTTGCAAGAAACTCTGAAAAGAATCTGAGTCCTTTCTGAAGACTGTGCAATTCTTTGTTCATTAATATAAAGACAACTTTGGAATTAAGTAGAATCAGGAATCAGTCTCCATAGGGGCCTCTGGCAGATAGCTACATTCCTCTGATTTCAAATGCATCTGCAAAATTTTCTTAATCTGATTTCTAAGTAGATTCTGTACCAAACTGCTTACAGAAATTGTGTTATTTCTGTAGAATATTACCTGCGTCTCAGATATGGAGAGGAAAAAAGAAAAGAGGAAAAAAAAAGAAAAAAAGATGCTTACTTTTCTGTTCCCAAGTTGGTGCTATAGGTACAAGCTGCTTTTGTAGAAGCCCTATTCAGTGACAATTTTGCATGACAAAATAATAGGAAATAAAGTAATTCCTATGACCTTATTTCAACTTATTTGTTCAGTAAAAGCAAATACCAGGACCATACTAGAAAACATCCAAACAATCCAACACAACTTTTCATGAAAGACACTTGTCATATACATGGCTATTCATAAAGAAACACAAAAAATGGAAGACATGCTCACTGGAGAATTTAGTTCCTAGAAGCCCTATTTTTCCTTTGTTTTCCTCTTGGCATCTAAAGGAAATCTCCACTTACACTGAAAGCATAAAATGCTTTAATCTACTCAAAGGTGTAAATAAAACAGAATTATTAAATTTCCTTTGCTGACACTTAATTGCATATTTTCATTAAACTTACTGAAGCTGTGTTTTATTTTTACAGTAACTCAGTAAGAGAAAGTAGGCCTACCAAATTTCAATTAGATTTGCCTAGAAGGGAAGGCAAAGAGAGAAAAATAAGTATAGGAAATAATTGAATAAAAGATAATGGCAAATAATTTTTCTTGGCAATAAAAAGGTACAGAGACAAAATGGAATTTTCTGGTAGCCCAAGGAAAACCTCAAACAAACCACAGCTGAGTGGATGAGAAGTTTGCTACTTTTCTATTTCAGCCTATGCTGGGTTGCTGCAGTGAATGGATTCCACAGGCTGCATATTTGAGAGCTTGTGGTCAGTCCTGCGTGCTTTTCACTGAGAGGCCAGTGTTTAAATAATAAAAATGCATTGAGAATAGCAGTCAAAAAACCCCAAAAAACAAACCCAACAAAACTTCAGGGAATTCCGTAGTGGAAAACATTATACTCCTGAATTAATTTCAATACCATGTGAAGTGCTGCACAAGAGCACAGAATTATGGGTTAATAAGGCTGTTCACTTTAAGAATAGGGTTTTGTCAGGGTAGAGTCTAATTAAGTGTGTGGACATGAGAGGGATGTTTGCTTTCATTTGTTATCTTTCCATACCCCTGTCAGACAAGCCAAGATCACAGGCAGTGCCCCAGCACTGGGTCACTTTGCTTCTCCAAACCATGCTGTTATCGCTGCTGTAAGCTCTTTTGGGTTTTTGGAGAGACAAATATCTTTGCATGTGTAAAGACATTGGCAAGCTGTGGGAAATTCAGGCACCAGTAACAGCACAGATCTGGGAAACATTCACGAATTAACCAGCTGAGGGAGCACAAGGCATCGGTTTTTCAGTAACAGCATAATGGACTTGAGGGACTTGGAGAAGAAACAGCATGGTAACTATTAAGTCTGCTTCACTTAACTCTCCAGTGAAACCTCTGAGGGTCCTTCTTCTCTCGTGGAGTAGTTTGAGTCACAATTAATTTTTTTGAGGGGCTCAGAAGTGATTTTTAAAGGACATGGCTGATCTGCTCCTTTACTTAACTTACTGGTCTAAAATATATATAAATAGACAGTATATATATATATATATATATATATATATATATATGTGTGTGTGTGTGTGTGTGTGTATATAAGTCCAAGGTGAAATCCTGGACCAACTGAAGCTAATGGCAAAGTATAATTTATGAGATTAGAGCCAAGTGTTGATTCTTGCTCTAAATAGCGTTGTATTAAAATGCAAATATGGTAATACTTGTATCATACCAGATCTACAGCCAGTTCAGCCCATGATCCTTCCTGTGGCAGTCAGGAAATAACAACACCTGCAAAAGCAGGACAAGCAATCTGGGGTCCAGGGCATTCTTGAGTGAGTTGGAGTATTTAATACAGGCTTGACAAAATAATTAGGGGACCAAGTGGACAGAAGGGAGCTGGTCTGTCTGTCAGTGTACCCTAGCCAAGGTTTGCAGCTCTGTAGGACAGGAGCAAGCCAAGGTGTTGCCTGCAGCTCCAACTGCTGGGCATCCATGCAGGGATGTGCTGTGCTGCAGCCACGGCAGTGTGGGGCTCCTCTGCAGAAAAGCCCTTTGAACTCGCTCTGCAGCCCATGATTATGCAGATAGGCAGGGCTGGGAAGAGGAGAGGCAGCAGGAGTAACTGCTACCACATGTGAAACTCTGCTCCCAGGATATTGTTTTCATTATAGTTCTGTTCTCTGCAGCCTCTCGGACTCTGAAGTGTCAGATTCCAGTTTGATTTCTTCATTAGGAAAGCCACTGCTTCAGTAGTAATGAACAACAGAAAGCACAAAAACACTCGACAATGGTTGGTTTTGTTTAAAAATGTTAGCATGGGTTAGACAGTGTCTAACACTAATGCCTGGGACAGGTTCCTTTCATTATGCTTTGCCTTTCTGGAAAACATCTCAGCCTGTTTTCACTGAAATTGGTTAATCCATACAGCTTAGGTCAGAAAAGACATATAAACTAGAAATGCTGCTTATTTTTGAAAAGCAGTAAAACAGTCTCTACTCTTTGTAAAGGAATGTATGCTGCCATTCTGATTACCTACCAACATAACTCATATATACATTAGAGTAAAATTGGTCTCTCATTTCCTGAAACAGATACCTGCTCTCATGTTCCTGTAAAGCACTGTCCACCTCCAGAACAAAATATGACACCTTCAGCTTTTTTTGCTCATAGGAAATATTATAGGTTACCTGGAATTTTATGGTATTGAACCAATGCCTTTCTTCAGATTTATAAGAATAAAGAAGCCCTAGTTCACTGGTTTTTACTTTACCTTGAGGAAATTATGCTAAACCTTTTTTTGTTTTGTTTTGCTTGTTTGTTTGTGCTTCAGGAAATCTCTTCCTGCCTTGGGCAAAGGTGCAGTTATGGTAATGAAAATATGCACACAGTAAAAAAAAAGAGAAAATCTTTGTCCTAGAAGAAATGATAAGGAATGCTTTAAGGGTAGATTAAATCCATTTTAACTGCTAAGACTTTATTCCACGGTCTCTGCTTGTGAGAACTAAACTCCTTTTGATAAGAAAAATGCTTTCTTTTGGCCTTGTATAATTAATCTTGGAAATCGGATAGGTGGATTTGGAGGTGCTGGTGAAATGTAAGGATTGAATTTTGAAATTTGACCAGCAATGCTGGGAAGACAAAGAGATGGTTGAACAAGCAGGGACATCTGCAGCTGCCAGCACAGGTAGGCTGCATTTTCCTGCCAGAATGAGACTCTTCACTACAGCCCCCACTTTTCTAGCAACAAGAACAATGAAGCAGTTTGGTATCAGAACTTCTCTTGGAAGGAAAATCAAAAGTATGTTTTGCTGGTCCTCTAAGGGTTTTCTAACTGGATGAGATTAGTATGATTTAGGACCTGGACGCTGGCATGAGCAGAGATAGAAGCAAACAAAAGTAATGTTTATGTACCACTTACTTTTTGAAGCATTTCTCTTTATCCAGGTTGACCAGAATTACTGTATTCCTGCCAGATTCAGTTTGTGTCTGCTGCTCCTCATTCAGCATTTGATTTCCTGAAGACACCATGGCAAAGTCACTGTATGAAATAGGAAATTTAGAACAGAGACAAGTAAGTTTTGCTCTAGTATTTGATGGGTCATTGATTTTGATTATAATTTAACAGCAAAACCTTCCTAGCAGAGAGCCCAAAGGGTACATTAGGAGGAAAAGAGTGGACCTCTACCATTTGCAGCTCATCTAAGACTCCGAAATTTTGTGTCTGGAGGTTGTGCACACCCTGTTTTCATAGGACTCAGGTCCAGACCAGGCTGTTAAGCAAAGAGAGGCAATCAGTCTCCTAAATAATTGCAATGTAGGCCACCACACTGCAAGGTAAACAGGGCAGGCCAGTCTAGAAAGTTTTGCTGGCATAGTTATGCCATTCACAATGTCATATGGAATCACCACCCACATACACAAGGAAGTTCTCATGGGCTTAAGTCATCTAATGATGGCAAAATGAGCCATCTAACCCTAACCCCGTCAGTCCTGTCTGTTCCCCAGGATCATGCACCTCCTGACTGGGTGAATATGAGAAATGAGCAAGAGGGCTCTCCCAGGACAGTGGTGGGCATCAGCTGGGGAGAAGGAGGAGGTCACAGGTTTAAGCTCCTCAGGGAGCTGCAGTGTATGGTACGTCATTCCCAAAACAGTGACCTCTGTGCCAGCCCAAAGTCCCAAGTGAGGTGCCATGTCACTGGGGTCCTGCTGGTGGCTGAATCCCTCTTCTCCATCCGTGGCTGCTTGCACAGTAGCACAATGCTGCTGTGGGCAATGACCTGTCCAGTGCAGCACAGACATGTCAGCACCATCAGAGCCGGCTCAAGGGTCCTTAACAAGGTAAATAGAAGAGTTTTAATCATATGCTGAATATCACCTGAGGAGAGGAATAAGTTGCCAGATTCATATGTTTGCAAGTCACAGATTTCCAAGCCGTTTCTCCTCATCCTCTCAGTTCATGGAAAAGAGTCTTTTCTTTCTTCCTTTCTTCTTTTAGGGCATAGAGATGTGTTAGAAAAAAATAAATTCTTCTGTGTAATTATTCTCATCTGCTCTACTCTGTTCTCAAGCCAATGCCTGAGCTGGCTCAAAGGAAATGGTGGAGGAGGAGGAGGGCAAGGGCTGTTTGTGAGCAGCTTGCACAGAGAGGCTCAGTTGTATCATAAAGCTGCACCTTGGGCTCATTAGGATGAATAGGGCAGTTCATTGGTCTGAATGCTGCTGTTCCAGGTGCTCTGCACCTGTTGCTCTGCTCAGACATTGGCCTTTTTCTTAGCAGCCATAACCATTTTAGACACAGGTTAAATAGACCCAATGTTGTGCATGGTGAATTAGGAGCTTGAAAACAAAGCTGGCATGTCATGCTTCTGGGTTCCTTGATAATGACTAAAATAATCCTGAAAAAAGTACTTTTAAAGGATCAGGTTTCTATGTGGACTGCTCAATTTCTATTGTACATAATGAGATATTTTTATTCAAATCCTCTAGATGATTAGACAGTTTGCCCATAGAACCTGGAATCCCTTTGGTTATGCCATTAAGTATAATTTTTGCCCATTAGGAATAGATTAGGTAAATGATGCAAGAAAATAGAAACAAAAAAGACCAGAAATCTATAGTTACCTTATGAAAGCTGAATTTAAAAATACTGTGAGGCAGTCTAAGAGAGAAATCATTCAACCCTAACACAAAACAGACCATGTGATCTCATTTTTTAAAATCTCATTGATTCAATCGCCCCAGTGCTCCCTCCAATCCCTCTATCGTAGGATGGGAAATCTGCACCTACTATCTGGTGATAAATTCACAACTATAATCCTACATTCCAGATTATGATCAATGTGAAAGAAATTGTTTATGGATGTGGGTAGCATTAACTACCTTTTCTTTCCATGTCTATTCCCTTTGCAATTAAGTAGACTCATTTATCCTACCTTGATAAAAGCCATTTTGCAAATTATTTTCTGATAGATTTATACCTCTAGTAGCTGTCAAAAAAATTCAGACGTCACCAAATTCATTCTCTGTTTTGTTGACCTATATAAAACATGTTCCAAGACATTCAGGTCTTTGTTAGTTACCAAAAGCAAATTAAAATTATCTTTTAGAAGTAAAACATCCCTTCTCCAGGAACCTGTACTGGATTTTGCATGTCTGTCTGAAAGATGCAGGTTGCAGAGTTCCCTCAGTGACAGACTTGAGGGACAAGAGGTGGAGAGGCACATCCAACAGGCTGAGCAGGACTTTAAAAATATCCAGGAGAAGAAAGTGAGAGATGCCACTGAAGTACGTGCTGAGGGACCTTGAGCTGGCCTTGTGCAATTAAAACCATCTGAGAGGCCGGGGGTCAGCGAGGGGCGTGAGGGAGGTCAGGGGCTGTCTGGAAGAGGTGTCCCTTGCAGTGGCGCCGAGGGCGGAGACGCAGCCAAAGGGAGAGGAAGAGCTGGCCTCAGTGTTTGCTTTGGCCTAATTTCAAACAGAGCCCCTTCACAATCTGTTTATACAATCCTGTCTTTCAAGAGCTGTTTTAATTTCTTTAACTAAGGCTCTGTGGGCCCTGAAGGTTTGATTTATCCCATGGAAATCAGAAGACATGCAGCCTGGGGAGAGCTGATGTGGGCTTGACCACATGCTTTATGAGTTTCACATTCAGCAGCAGTGGCTCTGTTTTAAGGCACTGCTGAGCAGAGATCTCGAGGAAGCATTGAGCTCTCTGATGGATACCAGGTCATAGCTGTTAGAGCTTATGGCACAGGCATTTTCTAAGCACAAATTAATATACTGCAAAAAAGTTCCAGCAAGCTCTACTGTCATAATCCTATCATTTGTATTCCTAATGTGTAACTTTGCTTTTCAATAAGTATTTTCTCATCATATTTATAACTGTTGCTCATCTCTTGTGTCTGGGCTACTACACATTTAATACACAGAAATCTGCCTCTCATTAACATCAGCAAAAGAGCAATAAATGAAGACAAATGCTACATTAAAAAAAAAAAAAAAGGCAGGATTATTTTTAGCCTTCCAAGAGGTCTGGCACTACACTACTCATTTTGGAAAGGAACAATTAGCCAGTTTGATAAGGCTGGAGCATGAAACATATCCACCACAGTGAAAGGTTTTAACTGGCATGAGTGCTGAAAGCTGGACACCTGCCTCCAAGTCCTTGGACATTTCATGCTTGATCTGGGCCAAAACATGAAGGCTGTGCTCAGAGTAAGACTTCAGAAAACTAGGCACTGGTTATCAAAATTCCTTTCTCCTGGCCCAGCAGCACAGTGCCAGCCCTCTCAGCAGCCAAGGCAGGCTGTCGTCCCACTCCACGGCCAGCCCTGGAGCAGCCCATCCATAACACTGGGACAGCTGTGCCAGGGAAACTGAGATGGTGATATACCTCTGCACTCAGTTAGCTGGTGAAGAAAGTAGCCTGGTAAAATTGCATATGACCTAGCAGCTTCTGACAGCATGTATTGATGTGTCTTGTTTGGTTTTGGGGAAATCCCTCCCATAAAGCACACATTTTGCTGATACGGCTGCATATGTGCAAATAATATACTGCTGTAATATTCCCACTTCTCAAAACTTGGAAAATCTCTCAGGTAGGCAAGGCACAGATTCACCTGGCACAAATTCCCTCTTAGGCCCAATGCTGGCTGTTTCTAATAACCTCAATGCCTTTAAAGGCCTGCACTGAGGCCATGGGGCCCCAGGTGCTCGTGTGCCCCTGCAAAGAAGGCAAAGGTGTGTGTTTCATCTCATAGGAATGCTACAAGGACTAATTCTTTAAAGAAATTTCATTGTTCAGACACTCTAGGAAGCAAGGTCAGATAAACACCTGCATATCTTTGTCCACATATAGGCAGCTTGTCATTTCTTCAAAAATTATATCTGCCATTGTTCACCTCCAGTGGGGAGATATTTGTATGGCTGAAAACAAAATCTGGCTCCTGTTTGATGGGCTAAATTTTGGGATATCCAGCTCTAAAAGTGTGACAGGAGATGTTCTCCAAAGGCCTACAGTTTCATTTGTTTGTATCTTTACTTACAGGCCCAATTGCATGCTCACCAAATAAAGTGTTTTACCTTTCCCAACAACCTTTCCTCTCTGTGTTTCAGACTTATGCCATTGGGACAGCTTCTCCAAGGATGGGCTGCCAGGGCACGCTGCTGGTCCTGCTGAGCCCATTGCTGACCAGCACCTACAGATCCCTTTCTGCAGGGCTGCTCTGACTTTCTCTTAATGCCCCAGTCAATACTCATGGAAAATAAATGTTTTGAATAACAGGGTGTCAAATAGAAAGAAAACAAATGTTTAAAGGTGGCTTTCATAAGCTCACAATTAAAAAAAAAAAAAGACAAAAATAAAAGACCACAAAACCGATTTACGCTATCTGAAAGCATTAATCTTTGTCTCAGTAGAAATGAAGTAATGTGGGAATCCTTAAAAGGAAGATTTTTGTCTCTGATGTAGTATATCTAAGAGATTATTTCACACATTACACTGGTGTGAGTAATAAAAGCTATCACATATGCTAGAAAAGGGATATTTGTTCAGAAGTTCAATGTGACTGTGAAGGTATCATTAATCTATTTTTTTCTGAGCCTGCTGTTTCATCTTAAAGGACTAACTTGTGACAGAAATGTCACAGAGCAGCACAAGGTGTTCCAGACCAATTCTAAACCCAATTCAATGCTTTTTCATGTGACCACAAGCTTTGGTGTTTAGAAATGGGAGGCCTGGGGAAAATGGGGAACCAAGGTGAAAAACTGAGCAATTTTAGAAGAGGTTTAATGAACCTGATGAGACCTCTGTCAAAACAGTGAAATAAATAATGCTATCACTCACCTCAAGTTTCTGCTAATCACCAAGACTAAATCTAAACAAGCTGAAAGACTTCACAGCAATTTATGCCAGGCTGTTGTATAGGACAAGTTCAAACTCAAGGACTGCTTTTTTTATGGTAGAAGCTGAACACAAATAATAATTCAATGCTTATTGGTTGCTGTGGAGGAAAATAAATTACATCACCTTTGCTTTGAATGAGAAGTTCTGTGATAATTAGCTAACAC